AATTTCTTTAGTTATCTTAGCGTTGAGTTTATCTTTTACTTCGAGTATTATTTTAAGTAGGATGTGCTTTTAAGCTTTTCTTGATGGTTATCTTTTTAAAAAAACACTATTTTTATTAAGATTGTACTTTTGAAGATGTACTAAAGTACAGTGAAACAATATACTTTGCGTTTTGGTATAAATGCAACCTCGCACTTCGTACTCTCTTTTAATTATTTTACTCTGTATAAGATAAATAGCGGTTTCATTAAAATTTATAGAATTATACTTAGAACAGTTTCCTAAGTACATTTATTACTTTATTCGTATAGTGATTTCAAAATGGTAATGTAAGAAGCGGATATTGGCTGACTTGAGTGACTTGTGGCCGCCGACAGTTTTGCGGTTAGCCCCCGGTCGTGTACACCAACTGAACTCTTACTTTAATCTGCTTAACGTAACTTAGATTGAGTAAAATTATTTAACTATATTGCGTAACTTGAATAATTTTACAAATCTTCTTATTGATTATATTCGAAGTTGCTTTTATTTTTTCAATTATGTATAGGTAGTATATACTATTATAATAAAGCGTAAACACACACTTTATTGTTTCTTAAGATGTTAGCAATTAGAGCATATTTTTGAATAATCCTTTCTTTAATAAAACACTTACGTCACGCTTTAGGCTATATGTTTTCACGCCATTAAACTTAGGGGGTAAATATTTTGGATAAAATCCTTATGTGGGAAAGAGACCATAAGTTGCTGCCAACATCAAGGTAGCAAGATTGTCAAGGTTGGTCATGTCATTTTGACATTTGCTATTGATAATTTGACACATGTAAAAAATAAATCAAATTTTCATGATTTTATGCGGATGAAGTTGCATGGCAACAGCTAGTAAATAATAAAGTTTAAAGAACATGACAAAACTTTTAATTATAAAGCCACTACCATAAAATACATGACACTTTTACGACAATCACGTTAACGAAAGTTGATTAACCACCGGCAAATAGAACTGAGTGAGAGCTGGATACTAATATGGGCATACCAGTCTTGTGAATCCATTAAAATTGTTCGAAAGAAACAGTCAATTCTTAATCGAGATCGAACATGGAATTTTGCAATAATAAAAGTCATATTTATTAGTATAACTACATATTTCCCTTTCTCATTCTTTTAACAAAAATGTAGATAAAACATTCTTCATTGGCATGAAATACAAACACACATTTACGTTGAATAACAGATCTGAGGACATAACACGAAAATTTGCTAAAGTATTCGTAACGTCATCGACTATTTGCATTATATTTTCGCATTCTCTTATCAGGCGTAAAGTACACCAACAAATCTCATACAAATTTTGTCGTTGCGAATTCTTTCTCGCAATTATTCCTGCTAGGTCCCCTGTTATGAAAATACTACTTACATTTTACTCCTACTAAAGCGGTTATCGTCGTTTGTAAAGTTTAAGTGTAATTAAAAGCTTTACATGTGCGTTAGTTCAAAGTTCAGTCGTCGCTTTTGTTCGTTCGTTAACCTCGGCTTGTGACTGAGAGGGTAGCATTTTGACAGCTCGTATTTCTATGAAAAACAGTTTGAATTATTATTTTTTTTACTTTTTATTGTCGTAAACGTTGCACGATATGCATTTTGTATGGAGCATACAGTTCTTCGAATTTATTTGATTAATGTTTGCCTTTAAAGTTTTAGTATGTGTAAAGTATTATATATTTTTAGTGTAGTTTTTAACTAATCACTAGATAAAAAATAAGTTTATTGTTGATTTTAATCGTTGAGGTTATATTTTCATATCAATAATTCAAATGCATTTTATTTTACTCTCAGATATTTTTGTTCCATGTCTAGTGATTGTTAACCTGTAAGAAAGTTCCGCACGGGCGCGGGTCGTGTTGTTAGAATGGTAGTTACAACCATTATCTGTGCTCTCCGTATCTAACTCATTATTAGCCCACATACAAGGAAATAATGTTGTTTAACCATGAAATTGTTAAACTGTCTACTGTCTGCTTTCATATAGTCTGTATTGTGTTAAATATGATAATCACATATTTTAATTTAATTAAAAAAAGGGGCATATTTCTAAACAGATCGCAACTTATTGCTTTGCGTTACTCTTTGAAGTCAATAGTTAATTTTGGTACTTATAGAAGAAATAGAAATGTTTAGTCATATTAAATACTAACTTTTTTTAATGCCGTCAGCGCGGAATTAAAAAAAAAAAACAAATGCAAGTAGCCTATGTGTTCTTCCAGATTACCTTCTACATCTACGGCAAATTTCATCGAAACACGTTTAGTCGTTTAGGCTACAAACTCGAACAAACATCCATCCATCCAACTAAACGTAAGACGTAAGATAAACTAGCGCTTGACCACGATCCCACGTAAAGTTATTGTCGACATGTTGCATGTTTAAAGTTTACACTCGGTTACCATTGAGAGTTAATAATTGCATAGCAACTTTATTAGCATTAACTCGATGTTGTCATTATATACACCTCTCATTTACCTTTTAAAATTGTATTTAAAGACGTGAGATCTAGTTTTACATTATAAACAATGCAATGGGAACGATCAACAAAACATCGTCCTATAAAGTGATCCATTCATCTGCATTCAATAACAAACATTACGGCAATTATTTCAAAATAAACTGTTAGTACGAGACCAGGTACTGTTATTGAACCTTTAGAAATTTGCATTCAATTCTTTATCAATGATCTTTCATACGCTAATGATTTGTTACGTCATTTGTTTTAAAGTCTCTATTGATTGAGAAACACTGAACATAAGCACATGGTTTTACTACACATATTTTGAGACAGATTAAAAAAAATTTGAGTGCAATAGCGTTAATTTCAAATTATTCTTGCAATAATAAGAATGATTTTAATTTGACTTTTTGCATGATTTAAATGATCATTGGTTGTATTTAATTAAGGAATTTATTTTCCTTTTATATAAATCAACTTGTTAAACCGAATCGAAATACATTACCACATTTTTATATTAATTGCAGTTAAATTCGAAATCAAAAATAAATCTGTCCATTTTAATGCTCACCATTCCCATCTTAATTTATAATTTGAAAATTATAGATTACAATGTACAACCTCGGTATTGCTTTTGAATTCATTGTTGCCTGCTCGATTGTTAATCTAAAAAAGGCGTAACTAATTCCCCATGGACTCGCAACACGATCCGCTCTCAAGATGCGTTACGCGTCGTACATTGTGTAACATTTCTCACAATTCTTTATTCTAATTTGTTTCTCAACCATCATCTCTATGGTATAATTAGTATTGTATGAATGGAATAACGGAACATTGAGCCCAGATATTTGAAGTTTTAAAAGACACATGAAGCAGCAGTTTCTCTTTTAGACGGTAGATAGAATATACAGAAATAATAAAAATGGCAAAGAGTAATGGTTTCTCAGATGAGTCGCCATTTGGGAGATGTACGACCAACGGTTTTTGTCTTGACAATGAAAAGTAGAATTAGGATTTTCTAGTAGATAGGACTACTCTACTTTTTAATGTAGTCTACACTATCTTTTGTTAGTTTAGTTTTGTTCAAGATTTCATAGATAAACTTTATATTTCCACTGTCAACAAAAGCGTTGCATGTAGAATATGTGCCATGTATCACAATAGCGTCACAGCGGTGCACCTTTTGTGTCCAGCCCTGCGTCCGTTTGTGCCATATCTGTCAAAGAGGGCTCGGATGAAATAACAATGGCCGCTCAGGGCCGCGTCACTGCCACACTTGTGCACCGCTCCAACTGTCATCTGGTTCAAGAGCTTTTGTTTATGAATTAAACGGGCCGTTTCATTCATTCGAAATTAAAAAGTGAAAAGTTTAATTCACTGAATACGGTTTATTGTGGACAATTTTTTTGTAAGATTCTATCTTCCACTAATCTTCAAGATTAAATGTAAACAGATCTTTTTTTTTTGGAAACGAACTAAAAAGATTTAAAAAGACGAAAGTACAAGAAAAAAGCATACAGCCTTTAGCACAGAGTAAACTGGCAATCGAATTGAACACGGATTCACTCTAATTAGTTGTGAAATACTATGAATCGAAAAGAAATTAACGTACTGGTTCTTTTTTATGAATTATTTGTACAATCGTTACTACGATAATTGTTCGTTTCTTAATCTTTTAATCTGAAGATCTTTTTTCATCAAGCATGCATCAGGTGTCACATGTAGTCACGTTGTTTTTTTGTTGCACAAAGGTATTTTGTGGTATTTTCACTGCTGCTAGGCCTAGTATTATTTCCACTGGACTCGCCATAATAGATGGCAGTCAGACCGGTTGAGGTAATGTAGCTTCTTGTGGTTACTTCTTGCATCCCTTAAAAAGATAGTTTGAACTGTAATTTGTGCTGATATCGATATGTATTTTAATGCCGGACAATCCTCTGTATATCGGCTGCTATTGCCTAGAATTTTTTACTTAATAATAGATATTATGAAATATTTCAAAAATTAGCTTTCATTTATTTTTTACCACTGGTAACCCCATAATGACTGTTATTATTACATTGATTCTGAGGACAGTGAATGCATTAAAGTGAAATATTTTTAAACATAATGCAAAGTCATCTTATGAAATGACTACTATAGTTTACTCGCAAGATGTTATTAAGCTTTCTTCCAGCAACTGTACTACGGAACAATGTCATTATGTTAGTTGCTTGTCGGTGCGAGGTGCCACTTACCTGGTGATTTGTGGTCCGGTACGCAATTACTATCTGTATGCGGTTTGATTCGTGTGTGGTCAGATACCCACGTCAATGCAATGCTATCATCTGTCAATCAAGTATTAGGTTATTTTAGATAACCGAATAAGCAAAATTAGTAATTTAATAGTCACTAGACGTGTCAATAGGTTTTTCATATTAATCCTTCATGTAGGGTAGATGTAAACTTTCAGCTTACAATATCATAATTGTACTCATGGATTATAATTTGTTATCAGGGTCACTCAGAGTCGAAGAGTGCGAAGAAGCGTGAGAAGAGTGCGGGGGGCAACGGCAACGGGAAGGGGAAGGGAAAGCCGACACGCGGCGTGGCCACTTCCTTCGGCTTCCGCCGCCGACCCGCCAGCACCTCGAGGGCAGACACATCGCGCAACCACAAACACGACAACAATGGAAATGGAGGTAACATTACCTATTCTAAATACAAAACGACTTGTTGATATCATCTGCATTATCAAATAAGAATGTTCATCAAGTCGCTCCATACTGTGACGTCATAGGTCTCAAATAAAAAGAACAGGTCGGAACAGAAAACAAATAACAGAAAATAATATAAACGCTAAAAGCCACTTCTAGAAACTATTTCCTTTAGTACATATAAGCAGGTACATTTCACTTAAAACTGTAAATATAAAAGTGGTTTTAAAATGAACATTGTCATAAATATTCCATTACACCCCTCATTTGTTGGGGACGCAATTTGCACCTGCTAGGGGGTGGTTGCACATTAAGGGGTAGGGGTGACTCCGCACTGCGGTGACTGAAACTCACTGCAGTCCAGACAGTTTTTATAGCTATTTACCAGCTGGTACGACTTTACAAAGTACAGTCTGTTTAGAAATTAAACTTGTTCTTAGAGACAGTAACATTAAATTTTAAAAACAGTTAGTGACAACATAACAATTAAAATATATTTAACCAAAATTCTATTTCTGGAATATCGGCAAAGGAATAAGGAAGTTAATAGTTTACCTACTACATTTTTCATTTAATATTTCTAGCAGGAAATTGAAATTTCATAAAGCAAACAGTAACCTATTGTTCCACCCTCAATAAACGTATTATCGAGGCGTAAGTGCGCAATTTCTGTTGATTTAACTCGATTACTTGCTGTGAAAATTCAGCAGTATTGCATGCCTTAATCGAGCATTGTGCGGCCGTAATCCCTTCAACGCGTACAGCAATAGCTTGCATATAATGTGCGAGACATATGATACCGGAACTGACCTATACCAGTGCCAGTTACTGCCCTTAATAACAAACTCATACACAATAGACAAAGCTGCTATATTCTGAAAGATACCAATGTTGCAATCTATCAAGTATTAGATAAAAATTTACACCATTACCTTCAGTGATCCCAAGACTATTGATAAAGATGCATGGAAGAAGAGTTAAGAGTTGTACATGCCCCAAGTCATTTTATTTTTAACTAACTAGTTGCTCGCGACTTCGTCCACGTGAAATAAAAAATATATAAACTATGTTACTCATAGATAAATTACCTTTCTAATGGTGAAAGGATATTTTAAATCGGCCTAGTAGTTTTTCAGTTATTTCAAAACATGCAAAAATACAAATCTTTTTTTTCTATAATATTAGTATAGATGAAGGTTACATACGTTAAATATTTTAATTAAATATGGCCAAAAGCGTCTCATAATTTTGTTCCTGTTCATTTATGATACAAATATTAGTGAATACATTTACGTCATCAAATAGAATCGGAAGCCGTAAGATAGCGAAGGAAGTCTTATTGTTTTCTCAATAGAATTACATCCGACACGATCGGCCTATCTTTAGCTCGTGCGCTGGTATGCTAGGCCTAACTTACTTTATATAATAGAAGCCATTCTTAGAATAAGAAATACAGCTAAAGCACTGCTTGAAAAGGAATGTAAGTACTAGTTCTAGTTTATGACGTAAACGTAACCCTGACCTCGCCGCTTAAATCTAACTTGAGACACTAAAGTTAACGTATTTTACTGCAGTCATCTAAATATGCGAGTACTTACTCTTTGTAAAATGTTTTAATGACTATTTGTTTCACATTTAGCAAATAACTGCAGTTTAGTTATTTTCCATTTACATTTTTTTTACAAAGTTAAAACCGTATAATCTGTGAATGATTGCCATTCTTGCTGCATACAATTTGCATAAGATAGTATAGTAACTGGTTTTGAACGGAAATTCCTATCGCTAAGTCCGACGTTTTAGCATATTTTAATTTATTTTATTAAACTGATATACATATTACAAACTTGATTGCGTAATTGTAGGCGACTTACTCGGGATTTAAGACTTATATATTTACCTTATCTATAGTAATGTAATATTATAAAGAGAGAGATAGATTTAGATTTTTGGATTTTTGTATGTATTTGATTCACGCAAAAACTACTGGGACGATTTTAAAAATTTTTCACCACTGGACAAGTTATTTATCTGTGTGTAACATAGGGTATGTTTTGTATTATTTTTTTAATATCACGGAGGCGAAGTCGCGAGCAACAGCTAGTCTTACTTTAAATATAATAATTTTGTTTGATTTATACAAATTTAAATATGGACAGGGTCGACTGAGGATTTGCGTGCTGAAGAAGTACTGTCAGGAAGGTCCACACCTCTCGCCCGACCACGTAAAGAAACCGCTGGACAACCGCTTCGGACCAACAGGTATAACATAGTTATAAATTAATACATGGCTACGCTTTGCCTATACAAAACATTCCATATACCATATTTACTCAATTTATTACAGAAATAAACTAATTTTCATACTTAGTTTCATATAGACAAGTACGTTGATTTCCAATTAACTATTGATTACCACACCTGTTGGCCAAACCTATTTTATCGTGTAGGGGTGAGGCTTAAGTAATATTTATGAGATACACTGGTCAGGGATGAAAACGTTAATGTACAATATATCACAATATTAAGTCAACTTAATTATTTCTTTTATTTAGGTATTATTAATACTTTACTTAACACAACATTTAATCAAAATTATTCACCTCTCTCTCATTCTATCTTTTTTTTTATAATATAAGGTGGCAAACGAGCAAGCGGCCTGAATCCACCGTCAATCATCCATCAATGGAAAGCGACCGCTGCCCATAAACATCAGCAATTGCAGATGTGTTGCCTACCCTTCATTGACGGAGGAGAAGACGCACATAAAGAGGACTTTTTATCTTTCTATGCGTCTCCTCCACCGTTAAATCTACTTTTCCTTCCCATCCTTTCCTCTTACGAAAAGAGTGGAAAGGGAAAGGGACTAAAATTCGGCCTCTATCTAAAAAACGTGACATAAAACATCCGTTATGGATGATTCTGTTAAGAATAGCCGTATCGACATTTGTATCTCTAGTCGGTAGCCTCTTTGTATTGTTATTTTAAACATAACCTATAATGTTTATGTCACTACAAACGGTAACGCGTTTGGGTAGACGATTGCTTTCGTAATCGGCTTATTAGAGTATTAGTGTCACGAACAGATGCCAAAGTAATTGAGTGGAATAGGATATCGTTAAATTAGAAAGTTGACGTATCGCCTTTTACTGTAATAATTTCGTATTAATTCCTTCGTTTAGTTTATTACGTAATAGGAAATATTTAATGAACACTAATTAAAGTTTATTGATTGCTTCCTACATCTAGGCTTAATAAAAACTTATTAATCTCAATTGCTTTATTATCTAGAGAAAATGATTATAACGGTGGTAGATTTTCTTACATTTTCTTATCGCCAGTAAATACGCGTGGGTAACATTCACATATCTGCTTCCATTTTTGTTTTCTCTGGAAGGCTGTCATGTCACTATCCGATGGTTCCCATGGCGCCCTTGTTTACCTGGTGTTAATAAAAATTAGCTTCGAAGAATTTGTAACTAAGTCTCATACAAGTTCGTTAGGTTTTTTCAAAGAAATTGTATTAGATTACGATACAAGCCACAAATAACATGATACGCCTAAATACCAGAATTCTAGTTGAATACATTTGATTTCGTGGTGGGAATGTATGTATGTATGTAAAAAATAAGTAGGCAACTATTAGTGATATTTGATTTGGTTTTATGCTCACGAGAATAATTTAGCATTGATTTGTTTGCGGTATATGAAAGTCTATTTTTTCTTCGATTAACCTGACAATAAACAAACAGTTATTGCTTGGAAAGTAAAAATTGCTCTTTAATTTTACAAGGCGCTCAATATTTTAATGATTAGTCAAATAGTTAAAAACTACTAACAAATATCAAAACGTTTCTTTCTTCATACAAATTTTAGTAGTGTTATAATTTCATCGACATATTCCATTAAAACATTTTTCTTTTTTATATCGTCCACATAGGACTATGGACATTTCTAATGGCTTGGCAGACTTAGCTTGCATTGATTGATATACGTAAATTAGGGTGTGTTAAATGTTAATCGTTTGATTTGCTAGGTTCGGTTTCAGGCAGCCGCACAGTAAGACAGCAAAGGTGGCCGACGTGAATGTAGCCGCGGAGCCGGCGTTCAACGCACCACTTAAAGATAAGGACACCGCCATCAATAACAATGCTTTAGGTAAAATATGCAGTTACTATACTAAATTATTTCAATGTTTCTTTCCCTAATACTAATTTTATAAAGAGGAAAGATTTCTATCTTTGTATATATTGAAATACAGTAGAACCTCAATAACTCAAACCTCGGTAACTTAAAAACCTCAATAACATAGACCCATGATAACTTAAAATCACTATAACTTAATTTTTTTTGTGTTTCCCTTGGACTTTAACTTATCGAGGTTCTACTGTACCTCAAAATGTACGGTTGTTAAAAATTCATTTACACATTGCGTTCAGTAGGCGCTGGATTGAAAAATTACGCATTGATTAAACTAGTACATGTAATTTTACTGTAGTTGTAAGTTTTCAAAAAGGGTGTTATTTTCTCCTTTGTCACAAAGTAATTATTACCTAATTGTGTCATCACAGATACCTGTTAGTAACGTTTAAGGCTTGATTGAACAACATTAAAAACAAAGCGTGTATTTGGAAACATTGTTTAAAAACAATGGACACAATAACAATGGAGATGTCTTGATAGTTTTAGTAAATTTTCTGATGTGATTTGAGAACGGTGTACATTACAAATGTTTTACGAAATATCATAAAATGAATGGTTATTTAACATCCTTGTCTTATTTTAATAATATTTCAATAAGTTATTAATATGCTATGTTATTTTTCAGATAAAAAGAGTACAAATTCGCAATATAATCAGTTGCCGTTGGTGGCAACTCAAGTTGCTACGACAGGAGTGACGACAGTGATTGGTGCGGGGGGGCTGCCGAAACCTGTCACCAAACAAACCGTCATACTAACATACCAGACACAACAATATCCAACACAAGTAAGACCATGATATATAATTATAGAAAACATTAAGATAATTTCCATTTTATTTCACTTAAAATATTTCCCAAGATCTTTACGAAATCAGTTCCCTTCTTTAATTTTTTTGCAGGGAATAATCATACTTTAGATATAAAGATTTAACATCACAAAATTCCTTTAGCATTGTCTGAATTTATTAGTAGTCTAACATAATTTTTGTTGAATAAAAGCCATCCAAAGAAATCTTTTTGATTGCGTAACCCATTCATTGGCACGAAGTGTACTAACTTGGTAAGAATACGTTATTGTCTTAACTCTTAACGATTGTATTTGCATTTTGGCACTTGTAAGGTTTGAATAGTCACCACCCAAGGCCGAGGTTAACAAGTGTTTACATTTGTTTATCGTGAGAATGTTATCGTTAATCTCTTAAATACTACACTTACCATTTCATGCTGGCTAGTAAAAGGTTCTAATACTCAACCATATTTAAAAACAATTGCGAACGATTTTGAAATTCGAATCCATTTCTCTGTGGTTTTTTATTCGAAATTCAAATGCGTATCGGTCCAAAAGTAGCTAACTCCATAATCTCAGAATAATTCTAGAAACCTATTCAAAACAGGATGGGCGTGTAAAACCCTTACCGAGGGAGCAAAGCGTACGTGGGACGTCGGCTACCCGAGTGCCGGGGGGCGAAGGCCAGAAGCCTCCCGGGAAATACACCTTCCAGACGAACCAACTGCCGCGCCCGCAGTACCCCGCCGTCAAGAACATCGACCCTAAAGCGGCTAAACAGGTCGGAATTATTCATTAATAGGTTCTCGTTCCACTATCCTTTATTCCTTTTTTCACTAAGCGACTAGACTCGCGATTATAGTCGCGTCAGTACAATTTTGGTGTAATGCAATTTATCATGTTAGTTTTGCTCCAAACGCTAACTTTAACATATCAAATGCAGTGTTTAAAAAGAAAATTTCACCTTAGCTTTTATAAGTTACTACATTTCGTTTAACAAATTAATATTTTATTCATAAAGTAACGCAAAATATCATATCATCATATGCATGTATTTATCATTGACCTTTTCAGCTCTATATCATAAAAGATATAAAATTCATACGTATTTGGAAGCTGCATAACCTCGAAATTGAATATTTTATACGTAATCTCGCAGGGATGATCGAAAAATGAACCTCGATCTTTGCTATATAATAGATATGAGAACATGATATTGCATACTTAATGTTATAAAAAAAGGACTTACTAATAGCAATTTTTCGACCCAGTTTTTTTCTGAAAAATTATTTTCGTATAGTTCAAATTAGTACTAATAATTTAAACACCTTTGACCTACAACTTCCTAACGATAGTTACTAATATTACATGTGATTTAGTCATAACGATATCTATAGATTGTTAAAAAAAACATACAGACGAATTGAGTACCTCCTTCTTTTGTGAAGTCGGTCAAAAAAGCTCTCGATGCCCTATTACCTATATAAGATGTACCCTCTATCAGTACAGAGGGCTATCAAGAGATTTCTTTCTACAAAGCTGTGAGCGGAAAAAAGGAACAAAAGAAAACTGCTTTCATTGAGCACTTTTGCTAATGGCTTCTAAAAAACGTCTACTGTGTCAACCATCTTACATGTGTCGGAAATTCATACATAAACTCTAGGATTTAGAGTTCCTATTCGTTTGTATTTCGAAGTAGGTCATAAGTTACCTATTTCAGTGGTACTAATTTAGACGCCGGGAGCGGTTCGCTGAAAATATCGCCACTGCATACTGCACTAGTCGGTGGAATACACACGGCATTAACAACAGAAGATATTTTAAGAAGAAAATATTTTTGTCCTAAAATATTTTAACAGCCAATTTTAAAATTACTCTTGCTAACTATTACAATATTCTCTTTTATAAAGGTGTTATTTTTGATAATAATTACTAGCAAAGGATGCGTCTTTCGTGTGTACTTGAAGATCGTAAATTATGCGTTTCACCAACAGCCGAATCCTTATTCCTATAATAAAATTAAAATAACTTTTTTCTTTAAACTATCAAAGTATCAGTTTAATTTTAGTATAGTATTGATTTTAACATAGGTAACGACAATAATTAAACAAGAAAAAACTAACAAACGCTCGAACAAATCGCACAAAGAGATTGTGAGCAGTCGTGTAAAGCCATGCATAACGTTTTGAAATAAAATGGCCTAATAAAAATAACTAACCACGTCCATTCGTTGTACTCACTTCACTGCGTAGACACTCGTGTTTTAAAATAATATTTTTAATTCAGTGAGTGTTGGAATATTTCGTAAGTATCTTGAGATATATCTTGCGTAGTGAGATGCATTTAGACCATGTCAACGTATTTTTAACTCTATAACTATGTTTTGGAAGCGAACGACATTCGGTTATTGGTTGTGAGGATATCTACTTAGTTATGACGTTTGTTGAGTAACATAATGGTTAATATATTATATGCTATGTGTAAAGTGAAAGTTTCTATGTATAATTATTTACATATTTATGTATTACTTCCAGGTGGTCAATAATACAAGAAAGGCGACTGCGGCAGACGGATGGAGAGAAGGTAATTTATAATTTTTTATTGTTGATTTATTTATGTTACTAGTGAAAATGTAATTACACCATTGGAATTTTTAACGTGACTATGAAATGCTAATAAGAACACTAATTTACCTTGAAATACTTTATTGTTCAAAGTTTTAATTGTAGTAAACCTCGTTTAATAATATAATATTGATGTTAAAGACGTTAAAGAAATGCTTGAAGAAAAGTTTCTGAAACGCTAAGCAATAAATAAATACCGAATGAGTTGTGTAGAACTTAGTTTTGTAATCCAAACTCTAGAACATTTTCTTAATATATACAACTCGATAGTGTCCTCCTCAAAGACGTATCACCCTTTGTTTTGATGTTTGCATTAAATCAGTTCTTATAAGTACGGTATGACCAATGAGCATCGTGCCTAACAACAGTAACTATCGAAACAGACGAAAGTGATGTACTCATCGAATATTAACTGCAACCGTAAACATTAGGTGTACACTAACATGTCTATTTAGTTTGACGTTTGACGGCAGGTGTGTCCGTAGGTGC